ATCTAACTTCAGGCACAGCAGATAGGGGGAGAACCATGAGAATGGGGACAGTCAACGCAGGGCTGAGGCTGTTGTATTTGAATGATCGCCTTGTTGGCGAGAAATTAAATTAAATCAACTGCAAGAAGTGATACTGAGTCAGAAGGTGCAGAATCTGTGTGGGTAGAGGTGAGGAACTGCAAAGGTAAAAGACCCTGATGAGAGTTATGCACAGGTCCCTGAGCAGTAATCAGGACATGAGGAAGAGAATAAATCCGGAGATAGAAAAAGCATGTCAGAAAGGCACTATTATAATAGTCATGGGGGATATTAATATACAAGTGAACTGGAAAAATCAGATTGGTAGCAGACCCCAAGCAAAGGAATCTTTGAATGTCTACAGAATTTTTTTTTTGGAGCAACTTGTGGTACAGCCCCCGAGTGAACAGGCGATTCAGGATTTGGTGATGTGTCATGAGGCAGTCATCAAGGAGCTTAAAGTGAAGGAACTCCGACAGGGTACTGACCATAATATGATAGACTTCACCCTGCAGTTTGAAAGGGAGAAGCTGGAATCAAATACAACTGTATTACAATCGAGTAAAGATAACGAAAAGACAGGAAGGAAAAGCTGGCCAGAGTTGATTGGAAGCGAAGTCTAGCAAGGAAGACAGTGGAGCAGCAATGGCAGGAATTTCTGGGGATAATTCAGGAGGCACAGGGGAAATTCATCCCAAGGAAGAAAAAGCATACGAAGGGGAGGGTGAGGCAACCATGGCTGACACGGGAAGTCAGGGACAGCATAAAAACAAAAGAAAAAGTATACAATGTGATGAAGATTAATGGGAAGCCAGAAGTTAGGGATCCATTTAAAAACCAGCAGAGGATGACTCAAAAAAACCAATAAGTGAGGAGAAGATGAAATATGAACTAGCTAGTAATATTGCAAGAGAGCTTTTAGATATATAAACAGTAAGAGAGGCAAGAGTGGACATTGGACTGCTGGAAAATAAGGCCTGAAGAAGTAGGAACGTGAAACAAGGAAATGGCGGAGTAACTGAACAGGTTCCTTGTATCAGTCTTCACTGTGGAAGACCAGCAGCATATCAGAACTTCAGGAGGGTCAAGGGGCAGAGGTGAGTGCAGTGGCCATCACTAAGGAGAATGTGATAGGGTGGCTGAAGGGCCTGAAAAACTTTACCCAGAGTGGAAGGTCTACATCCCACAGTTATGAAGAAGATAGCTGAGGAAATTGTGGAGCACTGTTGGTGATCTTTCAGGGATCATTGGAGGTCCTAAAGTATTGGAAAATGGCTAAAGTAGCACCCTGTTTTCAAAGGATTGGGAGGCAGAAGATGGGAAATTATAGGCCGATTAGCCTCAGTCATTGCTAAGGTTTCAGAGTCCATTATTAAGGATGGGATTGTGGAGTGCTTGGCAGTGCATCGTAAAATAGTACTGAGTCAGCACAGCATCGTCAGGGGGGATAATGCCTCACAAATCTGTTAGAATTCTTTGAGGAGATAACGAGCAAGTTAAACAAAGTGGTGGAAGTGATCATTTGGATTTTCAGAAGGCCTTTGATAAAGTGCTACACAGGAGTCTGCTAAATAAGATAAAAGCCCTTGCATTAGGGGAAAGGTAGTTGCATGGATAGAGGACTGGCAAATGGCAGAGAGAGGGGATGCTTTTCAGAACGGCAGCTGAACTATTGGAGTTCCACAGGGGTCAGAGCTGGGAATGTATAACTATTCACGTTATACATTAAAGATCTGGATGAAGGAACTGTTGCTAGGTTTGCAGATGACACAAAGTTGAGGAAGTGGGGAGGATGCTGAAGGACTTGCATAGGGTAGGAGAGTGGGCAAAGAAATCGCAGATGGAATTCAATGTGCCAAAGTGTGAGGTATGCACTTTGGTAGCAAGAATAGAGCCATAGAGTATTATCTAAATGGGAAATGCTTCGGAAATCTGAAACACAAAGGAACCTAGGAGTCCTAGTTCAGGACTCTCCTAAGGTCAACATACAGATTCAGCTGGCAGTGAAGAAGGCAAATACAATGTTAGCATTCATTTCAAGAGGGCTAGAATACAAGGGCAGAGATCTACTGCTGAGGCTGTATAAGGCACCTGTTAGACTTCATTTGAAATATTGTGGGCAGTTTTGGGTTCTGTATCTAAGGAAAGATGTGGAGGAGGTTTTCAAGAATCAGCCTGGGAATGAACAGCTTGTCATATGAGAAGTGCTTGAGGACTTTGGGTCTGTACTTGATGGAGTTTAGAAGGATGGGGGGCGGGGGATCTCCCTGAAACTTACAAAACACTTAAGAGCCCTGGACAGATTGCATGTGAACAAGATGATTTCAGTGTAAGAAAGACTAGGATCCAAGGACTAGGAGGTGGAATTTCTTCTGCCAGAGAGTGTGAAACTCACTGGTGCAGAGGGCTGTGGGGGTCAAGTCATTGAATATATTTGAGACAGAGATAGATAGGTTCTTGATTAGTAAGGGGATCAATGCAGGGGGAGAATGCAGGAGAATGATACAGCAGACTTGATGGGCTCCTATATCTTACAGTATTAACATCTGGGCCCTGATAAATAATGGACCATGACGCCCATTCCTTAAACAGCAAGTTGTGAAGATTGATAAAACACTGCCTTCAAGGGGCAGTGGACTAAGACCCATCAGGAACTTTCAAAAAGGAAATGGATAAACATGAAAAAGGAAACATATGGAGAAAGTGTGGGCTTGAGAGCAGGGAGACGGTGGAATCAATTAGAAAGCTTTTCCAATGAGCCAGCATGAGAACACTGGGACAAATGGCCCACTTCAGTGCTATAAGATTCCGCAGTTCTAAATAAATGAATTTTACAATAATCATTCCTTCAAAACACCACCATCTGCTCGCAAGGAGCCCTGGAACATTCAGCCATGGGTATTTTCATCTCATAGATGAAGCTCCAATCTTCTTCCAATTCATCTCAATGAAATTTGAAAGGTCAAAACTGACTCCCATTGCGAAGCAGACAGGAACTTAGACAGAGTGCTCACTAAGCTGGTGTGGTGTTCGCTTCAACTCCAGAGATTTACCACCACAGAATTTGATCTTTGATTATGGTTTGTCTTCCTCCCTGCACATCCATTGGTGATAACCAGAGGCCATCCCATAAACAAGAGAATGACCGTCTGGATCCCTTTCCTAGACCTAAACCAGCTTCAGAGGAAGCTGGAGGGGAACATTTATCCTTGCCATAATCTTGTTAAACCATCACACACCGTAACTAAGAGAGAATGCCAAGGCTTGTGGAACATATGGCAGGGAGTTGGCCATTCAGCCCCTCAATAAATCACTGCAATCTCTCCTTTTAACTTCATTCAGTTGGGCCTCCTTAATCCTCAATACCATTTCCAAACAAATATCTAGAAATCTCAGTTTGTAAGGCTCAATTGATGCCTCAGCATTTTGGGGGAGGGAGTTCCAGATTTTCACTGCCCTGTGTGGGAAGAAATGCTCCCTATTGTCAACCTTGAAGGACCAGGGTTTAATTTTGAGTTTCTGCCCTGTTCTGCCCTGACTTCCCCACCAACCCCTGGCTCCCCACCAAAATGCCCCATTCCCCCACTACCTCTTCCCACCCCAGTGGAATCAGTTCCTCTCTATTTGTCACATTGTGTACTCTGATCATCTTAAACCCTCAGTCAGAGCACCCCCTAAATCTCCTACACTCAAGCCTGGGTCTATGCAGCTTACTAACTCTCTCAGGAAAGTTCGGAGTGTTTCGCATAAGTACTGAGCTTGTTTGATGCTTGGGGAACCGTAGATATAAGGAGGTAATTGCAGAGCTCAGTACCCTAGCAGCTGTAGGCAGAGCTGACAGCAATTAAAATTCGGGGGATTGCACAGATATCTCAGAGAGTTGTAGAGCTGGAGGAGCTTACAGAGGTAAGGATGAGTGTGACCATGAAGGGATCTGAAAACAAAGACGAGAATTAATAATCAAGCATGGGTCAGCGAGCACTGAGGGTGATGGGTGAATGGGACTGAATGTGAGTTAAGTCATGGGGCAGCAGAGTTTAGGATGACCTCATAACGAAAAGTGGAAAGTGAGGTGGAGAAACGGAGATACAAGAGACGGTTGTCTAGATTGTTAGACTAATGCAGCTGAGGACACAGCCACCCAAGGTGAATCCAATAAAGTCAGTGACATGCAAGAGACCAGAATTGGAGTTAGGCTAGGGCCTCAGAGGATTAGAAGTACGGAGAAGGGGGCAAGGGCCTGGAGGCATTTGTAAACAGTTTAAAAACAAAGTATTGCTTCAGCTGGAGACAATGTAAGTCAATTAAGTGCAAGTGAGGATGGGGAGGTATGTATATACTTGTGTGTGTATACATCTTTGTGTGTTGTATCTGTGTGTGTCTGCATATGTGTCTGTGTGTCTATGTGTGTACATGTGTATATGCATGTCTGTATATTTGTGTGTCTGCATGTATTTGTGTGCACATGTGTCTGTATGTGTGTGTCTGTGTATGTGACTGTATGTATGTTTTGTCTATGTGTCTGTGTGACTTTGTGTATGTGTGAGCATGTCTGTGCATCTGTGTATGTGTCTGTCTATGTGTGTTTGTATATGCATCTGTCTGTGTGTGTGTGTTTGTGTGTGTTATTGTATGTTCGTCTCTGTATATGTCTGTCTGTGTGTGTGTATGTTTGTATGCATCTGTTTGTATCTGAATGTTTGTGTGTGTGTGCGCGTCTGTGTTTGTGTGTGCATATGTGTTTGTGTGTGTGCGCGCGTCTGTGTTTGTGTGTGTGTGTGTGTTTCTGTGCATTTGTTTATGTGTGTGTGTTTGTTTATGTGTGTCTGTGCATATTTACATGTGCGTGTGTGCATGTTTATGTGTGTGTGTTTATGTGTGTGTGCATGTTTACACACGTGTGTGTGCATGTTTACGTGTGTGTGTGTGTTTATGTGTGTGTCAACATGCCTGTGTGCGGCATGCACCTAACAAACACTTACTGGGTAGGGATACAGCGTCACACCATTTGTCCTGGAGACAGACCACGTTCCTTCCAGGTACTGATGGGCCTGGATGGCAACGGAGCTCAGGATGTTGCCGTTGCTGGGACTGGTGGGCATCTGCAGGCCAGCCTTGGTGACCGAATGCCCAGGAGACCCGCTCTTCTTCTCTGCCCCTCCGACGATGCCCAGTGAATTGGGCTTGCCTCCGTGCTTATTGGTCAAGAAGCTGGCATAGGTGGTGGTGGCAGCATAAGCGGCGGGGACGAAGGCCCATTCTCGAGAGGACTGCAGGCTGCCGATGTTGCGCGAGCCCACCAGCGAGGGGATGTTGGAGAGGGGCGGCGGGGAGCCTGGCAGTGGGTCATACTGCTCCAATGTAGCTGCTTGCTCCAGTGTCTGCACCATCTGGATAGCTTCCTGCTTCAGCTGGTTGAGGTGGGTGGCACAGATATCACACCGGTTGTCACGTTCGTTCCAGGATTTGCGGGTGGTGTTGGGCACCTGCAGCTTGTCGTGGATCAGAGCAGAGAAAGCCGGGTCCTGCGAACAAAAACAAGGAGGTGCTACATTAATGGAGAGAGCGGTATACAGCTTCGACTGTTCAACAAAGAACTTGCATTACCCAACATCTTAATTCCCACACCACCCCCCGAACCTCTCAGCTAATGAAGTAGTGAAGTGCCATCGCCACAGTAACATGTCAGCCAATTTATACACAGCAAGCTCCCGCTAATAGCGATGACTAACGATTGCATCACCAGTTGCCTTAGTGACGTCAATTGAAGGATAAATATGGGTCAGGGCAACATGGAGAACTCCCTTGCTCTGCTTCAAAAGTGGTATTCTTCAAAATAGCATCATTTCCATTCACCCGAGAGGGTAGATGGCACCTCGGTTCAGGATAGCACCTTGGATAATGCAGTGCTCCCTCAGCGTCAAACACCAGACAGGTGCTGGGCCAACGTCCAAGCATATAATTTTCCAGTCAGAACTTTATTCCAATTCACACACCACAAGACTTCAACACACTCCCCGTACAGAAAATACCCGTATTATTCATACACATAAATCTATATTCAACCAGTTCTCTCCCGATTATCACTTCATTAATAACACCGCACCATCAGCTGTTTCGGAATCCCTGCCAGGCCCTACTCAGTGTCGCTCCATGGTATCCACCTGAATGTTGTGCTGACAAAGCTGGACTGGCACTATGAAAGGCTTTAGCAGCGGCATCCGTTGTTAGACCAATTAACAAATTATTCTGACTTTCAGCTCAGTCTTCTCCATCAAGCAGAGTCTACGAACCAAAGAACATTCATTTAGGTAAAGCGCTCAACTGACATCACTCCCAATTATCGGTGTTACATGGGGATCAAGATCCTCCCCTCGTGTCAGAGTGAGGGCATCATTCCTGTTGGAAACTGAGGCCTATTTAGAACACAACACCAGAGCACTAAAATCAGGAGCAGAAACACACTATTAGGCCCCTCAAACCTGCTCCACCGTTCGATAATATTATGACTGATCCAATTGCAACCCTAACACCACTGTCCACTGTGCATTCATATAACCCTTGACTCTTCTTGTCAAACAAAAATCTGTCCAGCTCAGTCATGGATAGTTTTCAAAGCCTAGCCTCCACAGTTCTAACGGAAGGTCACTGGACTCAAAACATTAACGCTGTTTTTCTCTCAACAGGTGCCGCCAGACCTGGTGAGTTTCTTCAGCACTCTCATTTTTATTTCAGATTTTCAGCTTCCCCAGTTCTTTGCGTTGACCCCACCGTTCTCTGTGGGCAACAGAATTCCACAGACAAACCACCCTCTGAGAGATACAAATTCTTTCGTGCTCTCTCAAATGGGAGACCTCTAATTTTAAACGTGTCCCCTTGTTCAGGACTTGCTCACGAGGGGAAATACCCTTTCAGCATCTACCTCTTGAGTGCTGGAAGCACAGTTATTGATTACCTTTAAGGTGCCATGATGACATTGATATAGAAGCAGAGGTAGGCCATTCAGCCCTTCGACTCTGCTCTATCATTCAAAAAGGTCATGGCTAATCTGATAATCTATCATTTTTCCACAACCCAATTCCCTTATTGATTAAAAAATGACTGTCTATCTCTTCCTTGAATATACTTAACAACCCAGCCTTGACAGCCCTCTGTGGTAACGAATTTCACAGATTAACAATCCTCCCAAACATGAAATTCGTCCTCATCTCTTTCTTAAATGAATGACCCATTATTCTGAGATTTTGCCTCTGAACCTAGATTCTTCCACAAGGGTACACATCGCTTTCTATCATTTATATAAATGATTTGGATGTGAACATCGGAGGTATGGTCAGTAAGTTTGTAGGTGACACCAAAATTGGAGGTGTGTTGGACAAAGAAGAAGGTTACCTCAGAGTACAATGGGATCGTGATTAGATGGTCCAATGGGCCGAGGAGTGGCAGATGGAGTTTAATTTAGATAAATGTGAGGTGCTGCACTTTGGGAAGACAAATCAGGGCAGGACTTATACACTTAATGGTAAGGTGCTGGGGAGTGTTGCTGAACAAAGAGACCTTGGAGTGTAGGTTCATAGTTCCCTGGAAGTGGAGTCATGGGAAACAGGGTAGTGAAGGCATTTGGTATGCTTGCCTGTATTGGTCAGTGCATTGAGTATAGGAGTTGGGAAGGCATGTTGCGGCTGTACAGGACATTGGTTAGGCCACTTTCAGAATACTGCGTTCAATTCTGGTCTCCCTGCTATAGGAAAGATGTTATGAAACTTGAAAGGGTTCAGAAAAGATTTACAAGGATGTTGCCAGGGTTGGAGGTTTTGAACTACAAGGAGAGGCTGAATAGGCTGGGGCTATTTTCCTTGGAGCATTGGAGACTGAGGGGTGACCTTATAGAGGTTTATAAAATCATGAGGGGCATCAATAGGGTGAATAGCAAAGGTCTTTTCCCCAGGGTACGGGAGCCAAACTAGAAGGCATAGGTTTTAGGTGAGAGGGCAAAGATTTAAAAGGGACCTGAGGGGCAACTTTTTCACGCAGAGGGTGGAGTGTGTATGGAACGAGCTGCCAGAGGAGGTGGTAGAGGCTGATACAATTACAACATTTAAAATGGATACATGAATTGGAAGGGTTTAGAGGTGTGTGGGCCAAATACCGGCAAATGGGACTGGATTAATTTAGAATAGAATAGAATAGAATCCCTACAGTGTGGAAACAGGCCCTTCGGCCCAACAAGTCCACACCGAACCTCAGAGCATCCCACCCAGACCCATTCACCTATAACCCATCTAATCTACACATCCCTGAACACTACGGGCAATTTAGCATGGCCAATCCACCATAGCCTGCATATCTTTGGACTGTGGGAGGAAACTGGAGCACCCGGAGGAAACCCACGCAGACACAGGGAGAATGGATATGATATCTGATATTATGGACAAGTTAGGCCAAAGGATCTGTTTCCATGTTGTACGTCTCTATGACTATGACTATGACTCTATAACGTCTCCACATCTAGCCTGCCAAGTCCTTGCAGATTTCAATAAAGTCGCCTTTTGTTCTTTAAATTTCAATGAATACAGGCCCAACCTCCCTTCCCTAGACAGTCCCTCCATACCTGGTATCAGCCCAGGAAACCTTCTTTGGACTGCCTCCAACGTCAGTACATCTTTCCTTAGATAAGGGGCCCAAAACTGAATTCCCATTGAATAGCAGGCCAGGCTCAAGAGGCTGCCTGGACAATTCCTGCTCCTATTTTGTACCTTCCCAGCAGGCCACTGGGTTGCGTCAAACAATTCCCTACTTGCCATGATTCGAAGTGTTATCAGGCGAAATGGGGGGGATGGGCACGGTGGGGGAATCAGAATAAAATGAAGGCACGATGATGATGTGGGTGTGAGCAGCTCTGTAATTATAGCCAGAAGGTCAGGAACTCTGAGAGACTGTTAATTAGGGTCTGCTGCAAGGGCCTTATAAATCTAGACAGTTAAGGGTTTTTTGGCAAATGAAGCCAAGCTGCTCACTTGGAAGACAAGTGGTCCAGCTATTGCTTAAAACTGTTACTACTTTATGGTGGTTGTGCCTCTAACTAACCCCCAGTCTGCAGTTGCAACCACCTGGAATCCATTTACTGAAAAAGACTTGTAACCCTGACCTCTGCTCACAACATTGAGGCTTGTAAACACCAAACTCTATCCCCAGGTTTCCAACCCTCCCATCCCCAGGAGCGAAGAACCCATCACCAGACCTCTGCTTCAGGAGATTTGTGGGTTCATCGAGATCTTTTACTTGAATTTCATTGAAAAATTTCTAAACAGTTATTCAATATTCCCTGGAAATGAACAATGAACTCAGCGGCTTGTAGGATGCAGACTGTAGTGTGGTGGTAATATCACAGGATTAGTAATCGAGGGGCCCAGGTTAACTTCAAATCCCAACAGTGGAATTTAAAATTCAATTAATAAATCTGGAATGAGAAAGCTAATTGGATGCTAATTATCATTCTTCTGTTATTAAAAACCCAGCTGGTTTGCTGAAGCCCTTTAGAGAAGGAAATCTGCTATCCTTACTCCAGAAAGGGATTGACTCAGAAATGGCATAAAAGTCAGATCACAGAGTTGCTGAGGCCATTCAGCCCATCGTTCCCTCACTGGTTCTATTACCTAGCACCAGTCTCCAGCTTTCTCCCCTTATCCCTGCACACCATTCCTGTCCAGATAATCATCCAACGGCCTCAAGGTCAGATGTAAGAGTGAGTAGCATGGAGTGTGTACAACAAGTGGCTAGTGTTAGGGGTTGAAGAGTTTAGGCAATTCACTCCCATCTTCTTGCTCCCTGCTGCTTAGTCATCAAGTGGAGATAGACAAGTGCAGCATGGAGGGTAGCTGGACTGAGTTTGGAGACGTTAATCCACACATTGTCAAACAGTTGGCACGGTTAAATCAAGTCATCTTCTCTACAAGTTACAACAACAGATTCGACAAGGAGTGCTGGAGGTTAAGAGAGCTTACAGAATAAGGGACAAAAATGCTTTACCATGTACTAAACATCTGTGAAAAGACAATATTTATCTGCACCTTCAAATCGACAATGAATCAGCTATTGAGTCCTACAGAAAATTGGGCTTTGGAATAATAGAACCGGAAAAGAACTACTGCAAGAAGATAGAGCCAAGTGTTGCACATATATCATTGATCAAGACCAGTTAACAATGGGAAACAAATCTGACCTTGCTGGCCATATTCACATCCATTCAAAGAATAATATAAAAAAAATACAGACTCCATTCCAAGGAGAACAGGATTTTGGAGAATGGGCAAACAGTTGGCCAATGGTGGGAGTGCATGGGTGCAGCATTGGAGGTCATATGATGAAATCTCCAGGAATCTATCCTCCCAGAGTTGGCACTCTAACTTCAGATTATCGGACATCCTCCATAACTTCAGATTATCGGACATCCATCTCTGCTGATAGTGACCCAGTCAATTCTGCTCAATTTTCCTTTGATGTTTTACCATTTCGGATCCACCCC